CGATTGGATTGTTCCTTGGCAAAGCGCGTCCCAACTCTATAATCTTTCTAAAGAGGGATCAGCCACCTGCAAAGTCTACAGCAGGCATGTCAAACTCATGACGTGATGTTGCGTGACTTTTTCCCCATTGCCGGCAATGGGGTGAGTGTGGTTTTGGCGTGATGCATCCAGCCCGTGGGCCGGCAGTTTGACATGCCTGGTCTACACTGTAGAACAGTGGTGATGAACCTATGGCACGCGTGCCAGAGGCGGCACTCAGAGCCTTCTCTGTGGGCACGCACGCCATGCCCCTCAGATGGCAGCCATCCTCTTCAACCAGCTGCCCACCAACTTGCCGAGGTCCTACGTGGCCGGACGCATCCCAGCACCCATGCGCTCACTGGTCTTTGTATGCGGGGGCTGATGGTGTCAGACAGCAGCCGCCCCTGCCTCACGACATTGGCACCCCCACCTTGCCTCGCCTCACCCCGCAGGATGAGCCTCCTGCCCACCACCCCACCCACCAGAGACCCCCTGGATCTCCCCCAAACCCTGCCTGGCCCCCACAGGTATCTCTCCCCAGGAGCAACATCGAGCTGGCCACGCCCACCCTGGCCACATCCACTTATTTGCCATGACCCCTGTAGCCATGCCCATCCAGTGGGCCACACCCCCCAGAGGGCCACGCCCACCCAGCGATATATAAGTGCATTTTGGGTTGCAGTTTGGGCACTCGGTCTCTAAAAGGTTCGCCATCACTGCTGTAGAAACTTGGCAAACATATAGTAATCATCAACTTTTACAACCGCAATGTGGCTGTTAACATGCTTTTTTTTTTGTTTTTCTGCTGCAGTTGTTAAGTGAACGATGTGGTTGTTAAGCGACTCCAGCGTCTCCCATTGACTTTGCTGGCTGGAAAGGTCGCAAGTTGTCAGGTGCAAGTAGCCAGGAACAGGAATCGAATTCGAAGCATTAAAGGTTTATTATATGCTACCTACACACAAAATTCTGATCTACTGACAGTCAAATCAAATTGGCGCCAGGTAAGAGGGCTGAACTTAGGCCTCTTGCGGCTATGTAAGGATTCCAAACTGATGACGCATTTGACCCTGCCTTCAGTCTCTGCCAGGTCATCTCCTACACAAGATAGCAGTCAAATAACCCTGGGACATTGCAATTATCATAAATACATGTTGGTTACTAACATCCAAAGCGTGATCATGTAGTCGTAGGGATGCTGAGACGGTTGTAAGTGTGAGGACCAGTTATAAGTCATTTTTTTCAGTGCCATTGTTACTTCACAGGGTCACAGAACAAATGCTTGCAAACCTGTATTCTTTCAGCCTAGACTGAGATGGCCAAAATGCCATATCCTACTTTTTAGTCCCAGAGGTGCTTTTTCCAAAAGGCAACTGGACTTCTCCCCTCCCCTAAAAAGTTTTTGAAGCAGCTTCTTAGATAAGAAGCGAAACTTAAGAAAAGAAAAGAAAAAAAAAAACCAAGAAAGTCCAATTGCCTTTTGGAAAAAGCACCTATGGGACAACCGTGATCTGAATGATTGAGAATCTCCATATCCTCCTTTTTAATCTTTTTTTTCTCCTGGCTTCTATGTGACTGATAGTATGATGATGTCACTAAAGCAAGCACAACTAAAATTTACGGCCTGTTTTTTTTTTTCCCCATATGGAGAAGGAACAGTCTGAATGAGGTTGTGATGAGTAATATGCCTTCCACCAGCTCAACTACCAACAACTGCTGGATAAATACATAGTAGAATTCTATTTTAATCAGGAAGCGCTGATATACAAGAGACACAAGAGTAGAACCTGTCTATTCAAGGGACAATCCATTCTGTGTAGTACAATCCATCCTCATTTCATTGTACTACAGAAGCTTTGAGGACAATGTCTATAGCAGTGGTTCTCAACCTTTTTAATGCCGCGACCCCCAACCAGTTGTAAGTCGAGGACTACTCAACCGGTCGTAAGTCGAGGACTACCCAACCAGTCGTAAGTCGAGGACTTTCCCTTCCCGGGAGCGCCGTGCATGCGTGGTGCCGCCCCCTGCGCCGGCCGAGGAGTATGGCAAGGGGCAGCGACGGCGCAGGGCGACCACCGGCTGGGCCACCAGCTGGCCCAGCCCAAGGGAGGTAAGGCACCTGCCGGGCCCCACGCACACCAGCAACCCTCCCTGCACCCGCCGGCCTCTCATCTCCCACCCCGGCCCTCTTTTACTTACATTTTTAGTAGTTGCTCAGCAGGGAGGGGTGGAAACTTCCAGACAGCTTGCCTTCACTGCAGACAACTTGAAGCACCGTTTGCAGAATTGGACTTTTGGCGGGCTCAGCAGGGCAGAGACAGCCTGGACAATTCCTATTGGCTTTTGAAAGCCAATAGAATTAGACTCTATTCAAGAGAGTCTATTCTATTGGCTTTCAAAAGCCAATAGAATAAAAAGGGGCACAGCTAAGGAAAAGGGGGGAAAAATGACGGACTGCATTGAATGGCGACCCCAATGAAATGGTCGTTCGACCCCAAATGGCGTCGCGACCCACAGGTTGAGAACCGCTGCTCTATAGAGATTCTCAGTCATCCTGGTCACGGTTGTCCCCCAAAGGTGATTTTTTCAAAAGGAACTGGACTTTTCCCTTGGGAGACATTTCGCTTCTCATCCAAGATGCTTCTTCAATTCTGACAGAAGGGTGGAGAATGGAAGGATTTATATTCCTTGCAGTTAACAAGTAGGCTGGCTTGGTCGCTCAACAGCGAGACACTGGTGAAGCGGGCACAGTAGCGCCTGCATTTTCTGCATCGCATGAGAAAAGCATATCTTCCTTCTCTTATCCTTACCACTTTCTACAGGGGGACATTCGAGAGCATCCTGTCATACGGCATCACAGTCTGGTTTGTAGGCATCACTGGTTTAGACAGAAAGGCGGTGCAGAAAGTGGTGAGGACGGCCGAAAAGATCATTGGCAGTTCGCTCCCTCCCATCCAGGAAATAGCACAGAAGCGTTGCTTGAAAAGGGTCTGCAAGATTATCTGGGACACTACACATCCTCTACACAACCTGTTTTCCTTGTTCCCTTCTGGGAGGAGGGGGCTTCGTAGTATCCGTAGCAGAACATCCAGATTCAGCCATAGTTTCATTCTATACAGCATTAAACGTGTGAACTCTCAAGCTTCCTCCTTCCGTTATATATTTAAGATGGACACTGTTTAATATGTTTAATATTCATTTGTTACGTATATGTAGGGGTGTGAGTCCATACATATGTTGTATATAGTATGTTTAGGTGTGTGTTTCATTTTGGGAGCGTGCAACTAACTTTCATTTTTGATGTGTGCCGTTGCGCCCACAGTAAAAAATGACAAAGGTTATCTTATCTTATCATTTTATCTTATCTTATCTTATCTTATCTTATCTTAAAAGAGTGCTAACAACCAGATGACTGCAAAGAATAAAAATCCTTCCATTCTCCACCCTTCTGTCAGAACTGAAGAAGCTTCTTGGATGAGAAGCAAAATGTCTTCAAGAAAAAACAAAACAAAGAAAGCCCAGTTGCCTTTCAAAACAGCACCTGTGGGACTTTGAGGATAGTGTTTCCCAATGCATTAGACCAGGGCTTTTCAACCTTTTCACCCATTGTACCACTTTTAGGATAAGGCAACATCCAAGTACCACTAGTCGCCTAGCAAGGTGTCAAAAACTTGATAACCCCCCCCCAAAAAAAAGAAGGAAAAAAACTGATAAAAGTACAGGTAGTCCTTGACTTACAACAGTTCACTTAGTGACTATTCCAAGTTACAATGGCACTGAAAAAAGTGCCCCCCAAGGCACATCCAAGCAAGACACCTGCCTGCCCACCCGGCCGCGCTCTTCCTCCTATCCGAGGTTTTCATTGTTGTGAGCATTTCTGTTGAGGATTGGCAGTGGGGGTGGGGTGGGGGTGTTTGGTTTTTATTCCCACCATCTGTTGGGTGATTGCAGCAGGTTTTGGTCACTTTACATGACCCTGGGACACTGTGACCTTCATAAATATGAATCAGTTGCCAAGCATCTGAATGTAAATCACAAGACCCTGGAGTTGCTGCAACATTCTAGCTGATTGGCGCTTCTTCTGCACTCAGCAAATGCACCAGGATCAGCGCCGAGCTCCAGCTGGAGCCTGGCACTGATCCTGGCGCTTCCACTGAGCCCTGACAGTCCCGAAGAAGCGCTGATCCTGGTGCTTCCGCTGAGTCCTGACAGCCCTGCAGCTCCAGCCATCTCTCAGGCTTGTGCGGTGCTGCCACCGGTTCAGCTTATTCCCCTCCCCTGCTACTTTTCTAGGATGGTCGCGTACCACCTGCCAGGTGCCAATGTACCACAGGTGGTACCTGAACTACTGGTTGAAAAGCCCTGCATTAGACAAGAACCGTTATTCCAAGCTAGCACAACTAACAATGGTGTAGAGGCAGAGTCCACTCCTTCTGATGAGCCACAAATTATTGATTTATTGCCGGGCTTATAGGTCATTCCAACTGGGAATAATTCTTGAGCAGCATTCACCCAAATCTCAATAAATTGCAACATAACAACAACAAAAACGCAATTCAATATGGTTTACTCCACCCGTATACAGCAGCATTGGGTTTAAAGAAAGCTATTCCAAAGAGATGATGTCCTTCAATGGCAAAGGCCTACATAAGGCAGCAGGAAATTTCCTAACTGTTTCAAGGAACAAGCCGGTTTATTGCCACTAAGCTGTCACAGGGAAGCAGGCTTCTAACAACAATGATTTATCTGCTGTTGTAGTACAGCACAGTATGTTCTTCCGAGGCCACGGGCTGTTCACCAAACAAAAGATTGCTCAACTAGCAAAATTAAAGGATTAGGTGCTCCTGGAGATAAACTGCTAAACAAATATAGGCCCAATGTTCCACCAGAGGGATGAGATGGATCCCATCAAACCAGCTCCTCGGAAGAGTCTTCTGCAGTTTTGACAAACCAAAGTGGTCGAACGAGGCGACGAACGTTACCTGATTGGGCTGAATTCTGGGCACGTACACTTTCCACATCTGAGCTTCCCTAGAGATTGCCATCTCTAGGAGGATGGACAACCTCTGATTCTCCAAGGGTCCCAAAAACTTCATGGTACCCCTTGGGTCGGCCTGCCACCCAACTGGATACAGCTACCTGCAAATGAAGGAGAGCACAAAACAATCAATGAGCGATGTGAAAAGTAGCACATATTGCACACCAGCGTTTTTTTTTTCCCCAATTTTTTTTTTTTTTGAGCTTCATTTCCAATCTGCAACATCTTGTTTTGCCCCCAGCAAACTACTCTGGGATTCCACCAGAGGGAAGGACGAGAAACAAGGGTTGGAAGCTGATCAAAGAGAGAAGCAACCTGGATTTAAGGCGAAACTTCCTGACAGTCGGGACAATCAACCAGTAGAACAGCTTATCCCCAGAAATCGCAGGCACTCCATCGCTGGAGGTTTTTAAGGAGAGGTTGGACAGTCACCTGTCTGAGATGGTTATAGGTCAGTGGTGGCGAACCTATGGCATGGGTGCCAGAGGCGGCACTCAGAGCCCTCTCTGTGGGCATGCGTGCCGTTGCCCCAGTCCTAGGCCTTCAGGTGGGTTTTATAAAACCTTTACGCTTTAGGCCTCCGCTGCCGTGTGCAAAAAAAAAAAAAAGGTTTAATCAATCAGTCAATTTCAACTTCTTGCGGGAAAAAAAAGATCTTGCAAAGTTGGAATTGATTGATTGCCACACACCCCCAATGGGCTACACCCAGTCAATGGGCCACACCCAGTCAATGGGCCACATCCAACCAATGGGCCACACCCACCCGGCACCCGACGATGCATAAGTGGGTTTTGGGTTGCAGTTTGGGCACTCGGCCTCTAAAAGGTTTGCCATCACTGGTATAGGTTCTCCTGCTTAAGCCGGGGGCTAGACTAGAAGATCTCCAAGGTCCCTTCCAGCTGTATTCTATTCTAATTCCCTGCTCCCATAATCACTTTCTTCTGATTTGCTCCCTCAATGGCTTATCCAAGGTTCCTCAATGAGATTGGAAATGGCAGGTAAGCTTCTCCGAAGGGCCAAGTAACCAAAGTCCCTGTAAAATCCAAGCACAGAAGACTAGTGGGTATAAAGCAGGGGTCCTCAACACCCAGTCCATGGCCCAATATTGTTGGGAATGGGGCCCTGCAAGCGTCAGGCAAAGCTCAATTTGCAGAAGCAGCCAACGCATGAGCAAAACCAGCCCCTATATGAGTGTTTCTCAACCTTGACAATTTTAAGGCATGTGGACTTCAACTCCCAGAATTCCACAGCCAACAATGCCTTAAAATTGTCAAGGTTGAGAAACACTGCCCTATATAAATATAAAGGACTAGTAAAACAAGCTACTTAAGGCTATCTGAAGAGTCAAGATAGGTCTCTCTTCCAATCACAATCCCTACAGATCCCCAACTTATTATTCAGACCAGATGCATTCGCCTCCACAAGTACTCCCCGACTTCCAATTATTCATTTAGTGACCATTCAAAGTTACAACGGCACTGGAAAAGGCAACTTACGACCGATTTTCACACTTACAAGCTTTGCACCATCGCCATGGTCATGTGATCAACATTCGGACAGGGTCCAAATTTGCGGTGTCCCAGGGTTATGTGATCAACTGGGAAGTCAGGTTCACTTTAACAATTGTTAGTACAGTGGTTCTCAACCTGTGGGTCGAACGACCATTTCACGGGGGTCGCCAAACAACGCAGTCCACCATTTTTTCCCCTTTTCCTTAGCTGTGCTACTCCCTTTTATTCCATTGGCTTTTGAAAGCCAGTAGAATAGACTTTCTTGAATAGAGTCTAATTCTATGGGCTTTCAAAAGCCAATAGGAATTGTCCAGGCTGTCTCTGCCCTGCTGAGCCCGCCAAAAGTCCCATTCTGCAAACGGTGCTGCACCAGTTGAGTCGTCCTCGACTTACGACCGGTTGGGGGTCGCGGCATTAAAAAGGTTGAGAACCACTGTGTTAGTAACATAACCGTTGCAGTGATTCACTTAACGACGGTGGCAAGAAAGGTTGTAAAAGGGGGCAAAATTCACTGAACAGCTACCTTGCTTAGCAACGGAACTTCTGGGCCCAATTGTCGAGGACTGTCTGTATTCCTCTGTAACTGCAAACCTTGCTAAAAACTTCCGAGGCTACTACAAGGCCATGGGAAAGAATCTGAAGCTTGTAATTTCTGCTGCCAAATGTTGAAAACTGAAACCCATCAGCCTGGAAGCTGGCCACCTTCTCGTTGGTCAAGCTGCTGACAAAGTCCGACCCCTGACAGATTTAATCTAGATGGCTTCACTTTTCCTGCTTGTTTACAAGCAACCGTTCTACCATGAAAGTTGGCAACGAAAGCAAAAACTGTTCCAAAACCGTTTTTTTTTAAAAAAAAAAAAATCAACATCAACAACTTGTAATGAAATTTTCTGAAAAACAGCCAATTCCATATTTTCAGAGCAACTTAAAAAACTGGAGAGCTTACAGGCCGAAGGCTTTGATGAAAAGAATATTGCAGGCAAGGTTATTGGTTGGACAATATTGGAAGAAAGATTCTTTGCCTACTATAGAAGAATGGTTGCTTAAAGCAGTGTTTCTCAACCTTGACAATTTTAAGGCATGTGGACTTCAACTCCCAGAATTCCACAGCCAGCAATGCTGGCTGTGGAATTCTGGGAGTTGAAGTCCACGTGCCTTAAAATTGTCAAGGTTGAGAAACACTGGCTTAAAGTTTCTAACTTAGCAGAAATGGCTAAAATTTCTGCTTCTTTGAAGGATCATTCACAAGAAAGATACATCTCGGTGTGGAGAAGATGGATAAATTTTGTATAGAATAAATATGGGATTAGAAAGTATTATTTAGTTTTTGAATAATTTAAAGCTTAAAGTGGGGATTATTTATATTGTTATTTATGTTTTCGCTTGAAATTTTTCTTTTGAATTTGAGTTAAAGTGTTCTAGGGGTTTTATTATTTGTATAGTTGGATAAGCTTAGCTAGAATTTGTTTGCTTATTTTTTTTAACCCTGTAATCAGCTCTGGGAAGTGAGGGGGGGAGGGTTAGGGTTGGGGGGAGGTAGGGGGGGGATATTGTATTGTATTAAAAATTTGTATAAATAAATAAATCAATCAATCAATAAAAAAAAGAATATTGCAAAGTTATCTCCAACTTATTATCTTAAGGGGCGACTGTTTAATAAAAGATCCTATTTCCAAAGTCAACTTTGTTTTGCAAATGTCGTGTCCTGTCTCCGTGACCTCAGCGCTTGTTTGGGGAAGGCTGTTCCACATTCTTTTCAAAGAGTTGAAGGTTTGGGAACACCATATCCACATCTGATCTTGAAGGAAGAGCAGCTGACTTCCAATAAAAGGTTAACAAGTAATATAATAGGAAGACCACAGCTGGAATACTGCCACCAGTTTTGGTCACATTACAAAGAAGATGTTGGGACTTTGGAAAAAGTGCAGAAAAGCACAACTAAGATGATTAAAGGCCTAGAGCAGTGGTTCTCAACCTTTTTAATGCCGTGACCCAACCGGTCGTAAGTCGAGGACTACTCAACCGGTCGTAAGTCGAGGACTTTCCCTGCCCTGGAGTGCCGCACATGCGTGGTGCCGCCCCCTGCGCCGGCAAGGGGCAGCGACAGCGCAGGGCGACCACCGGCTGGGCCACCAGCTGGCCCAGCCCAAGGGAGGTAAGGTAGCCGCCGGGCCCCACGCGCGCCAGCAACCCTCCCTGCACCCGCCGGCCTCCCACCCCTAGCCCTCTTTTACTTACATTTTTAGTAGTTGCTCAGCAGGGAGGGGTGGAAACTTCCAGACAGCTCACCTTCGCTGCAGACAACTTGCAGCACCATTTGCAGAATGGGACTTTTGGCGGGCTCAGCAGGGCAGAGACAGCCTGGACAATTCCTATTGGCTTTTGAAAGCCAATAGAATTAGACTCTATTCAAGAGAGTCTATTCTATTGGCTTTCAAAAGCCAACAGAATAAAAGGGAGTAGCACAGCTAAGGAAAAGAGGAAAAAATGGCGGATTGCGTTGTTTGGCGACCCCCGTGAAATGGTCTTTCGACCCCAAATGGGGTCGCAACCCACAGGTTGAGAACCTCTGGCCTAGAGTCTAAGACATATGAAGAATAATTGCAGGAACTGGGGTATGGCTAGTCTAGAGAAAAGAAGAACTACAGGTGACATGATAGCAGTATTCCAGTATTTGAGGGGCTGCCGCAAAGACGAGGGGGTCAACTTATTTTCCAAAGCACCAGAAGGCAAGACAAGACACAATGGATGGAAACTAATCAAGGAGGGAAGCAACCTGGAATTAAGGAGAAACTTCCTAACAGTGAGGAGAATTAACCAGCAGCTTGACTTTGGACGTTGTAGGTGCTTCATCAGTGGAGGTTTTCAAAAAGAGACTGGACAGCCACCTGTCTGAAATGGTATAGGTCAGGGGTAGGCAACCTTGGCTCTTTTGTGACTCATGGACTTCAACTCCCAGAATTCCTGAGCCAGCATGGCTCAGCTTGGAAACCTCTCCCTTTCCCCTCAGCATGGCTGGCTCAGGAATTCTGGGAGTTGAAGTCCACAGAGTCATAAAAGAGCCAAGGTTGCCTACTCCTGGTATAAGGTCTTCTGCTTGAGCAGGGGGCTGGACTAGAAGACCTTCAACGTCCCTTCCAGCTCTATTCTGATTCTGAGTTTCATTTGGTCCACTTACCTTGAAATTCTGTAAACTGTCAAGGTCCATGTTACAGACAAATCAATAAGCGTACATTTGTTGAGGTGCCCGTTCTTTCCCTACTTCCATCCTGGTTATGTATCCTCTTGCTACTGTTCCGGTCAGAAGTAATCAGAAGTCAGTGAGGAAGTAACTTTGGGTGATGCAAGTAGAGACAGGAGTGAGAAACTAAGTGACTCACAGGGGGAAAAACCCCATGAGTGTCACAAAGTCTATCCACTGATAGTCCATCTCAACACGGGGCCCTCCAGATGGAGACTTTAACACCCATAATCCTTAACCAGGATGCAGACTTTTTTTTTTCAAGCTTTAATTTTTAAACCTGAAACATGTACGACTTTATGACAATTGAGCCCCAAAATTTCTGTTGCTAAGTGAGACAGGTGTTAAG